TCGAGATGCCAGAGGAAAAGGTTCTGAAGTGGATGCTCGTGCAGTTTGCAGGTGTACCATTGTATAAAACGGAATACAATAGCAGTGTAGACGTATGGCTGGATAAATTTGAAAGGACCAAAGGACCTTTAACCATCATGAAAACGGATGAGTTCAGAGAAAAGAGCGTCAGCCAGATTGCAGAAGTGAGTATCACTATTCTTCAACCTTCCTTTTTGATATTATATACTTCAGGCACTCCGCAGCTACGTTTCTAATAGCGGTTGCCAACATCTAGTCATAGACAATCTGCAGTTCCTTGTAAACCAGTCAACAATGACTAATGACCAATTTACTGGCTGGGATCGATTTTATGCACAGGACCGTTTTGTTGGTTATATGCGTTCTTTAGCAACGCAGCACGGAGTTCATGTAACAATGGTGGTACATCCAAGAAAGACCGATACAGATACTGACTTGGATATCCAGCATTTTGGAGGCTCAGCGCGAGTTACACAAGAAGCAGATAATGTCTTCGCATTGCAAAGACGACGTGATGAACTAGACCGTAGGAAATTCAGAAAATTCTTGTATATATTGAAAAACCGCTATGGAGGATGCAAAGTGGAGACAGATCAATTGGAGATGGTTTTCCACTCCGATATTTATACTCATACATTAATTGATCATTCAATTAAGGTTTAGAAATATTGACAACTTCCCGTTTGTTATAGTTGAAATGTATATTCCAATAACCAGCGATGACGAACGGAAAGCATCAGACATTTTCTAGCGTTCTCTTTCGTTGCCTCACAATGGTTTGTGTTACCAGCTATTACCATTACCTAATTTTTTGCGGCGAAAGAGAATATTGTCATGTTTCTTATAGGTTACACAAACTGGTGACTTCATGATTGCCGATCATGTACTGCCGTATTTTTAGCTATGTGCATTTAGCAAGAAATAAGAAATAAATGTAACACTATGCATTATTGATTTCCCATGCCCAGCGGCTAATTAGATTAGTTTCCAATAAGTAATACCGGTAGAAGAAGGGTAATGATTATTGCAACGAATTTAATTTCAAACTAACAATGCTGTTAACTGAAAATAAAGCGCTATTAAGATAGATGAGCGACTGTGAAGGCAGCTCATTTTCAATCCAAATCCTTCATCTTTTCTAAACCATTTCGCTGGACACGATGAGCCACTTTAATTACCGGAAATAGCAAAGACAACGATTTCGAGCCTTCTTTTGATCGAAAAGGGCAAGTAGCAGAGCGGCGACCTATAATTTCCGAGATTTGGTCCTG